CGCCGCCTGTAGAATTACAATTGACGTGCGTCAGTCAGCCGGGCTATAAATAAAGATTTTGCAAATTAAATGCCTACCGTCTGACTTCGGATGGCTGTCTGTCATTTTAATTGCATAGAGCGTTCAATTTGTAATCATTTAATTGTCATCTTAATGCGACTCGAGTCGATTCCCCACATGTCCCTCGCAATAAACAAATTAGGGGCAAACAAATGTTCTCTTTGTATTATAATAGATCTTATCTCCAGACGCGACTGGCCTTGAAATTCAACTACGAATGCGAAAATAAACAATCAAATCGAGCGAACTTGTTTGCTGAACTGGTTGGGTTCGGTTTCGGTTTCGGTTTCGGTTTCGATTTTAGTTTTTTTTCTTTTCTGCTGTTTTCCTCCAAAAGTGATGTTAAAGTGAAATTTTCGGATTGTGTGTCACCTGGCCTGGGAGCAAATGACTCAGGTTTGACTCAGTTTTTGGTCCATTTTGCATATACAGGTTTTTGTTTCGTTTTTTCTGAGAAGCTGTGAAAATGAATTATAATTTGTCACACTGCTGAATTTCGTTTAAAGTAAGCGACTTTTTAACTTTGCTTGAATAATTTGGAAGGGCTAAGGGACAGAAACCTTGAATTCGTAAATGGTAAATGTAAGGGTTTTTAAAGTAAGAAACCTTACTTAAAGAGAATTTCTTTGCAAATGATATATAAATAATTAAATACATATCTAGAAACAAGGTCCTTTACAAATATTTTAACCCTATGAGGGTAACATTGTCTTGATGCTCCAAAACACATATGTAGTACTCAATTTCAAGGGCAAATAAATTACTTTCAGCTCTGTCAACAGAGATTTCCTGTTTTAAGAATCTCAGCCAATTGGAGGAAACCCGAAGAGAACTTGTCTCAATTCAATGTCAACCTCTTCTGTCAAGTACATGGTGACCTGCAAAATAAGCCATCCACAAACCGGATATATAAAACATTATCCAAATCACCTCTCTCCGATTCCGACTCCGACTCCGAATCCAACTCCAGCTCCACCTAACTCCCCCTCATTTGTGGCTCGGCATTAATGAGGTTCATATAATTTAAATATATTTTTCGTTTGTTATTTCTGTGGCCATTGTGGTTGGGCATGAGTTTTGTTTAGCCACGATTCACTCAGATATAGCCATTTGTTTGTGTATGCGATTATGTAATTTCATTGCTGTTCGTTGCTGTTTTGTTTGGACTTCTCGAGCCGCAGCAACAACAAGTCTGTTCCGATGGCATTTTACTTTTGGTTTCGGTCGTATGTAGGTTGGGGTCACATCTCCGCCGGGCAATTGACTGCGATGACTGCCACCGGGGTCTGCCCCTCATTGTTTCGAGCACGAAGAGCAGGCAAGAAGCCCCAGCAAAAAATAGACAAGCAAATAACGAAAACAAACTCCGCCGAGACACTCAGTTTCAGTTGAGGGCCTAAACAACTTTGTCAATTTACGACAAAAAGCTGAAAAATTGGGGAATGATATAAGACTGTCTAAGATTGACATTTTGACTTTGGTAAGAACTGGAAATTTCAATTAAGTTAAGGGAAATTACGTAAACTTGTAATAAGAGTAAGATAAACTGTAATGTAAATAAAAAAAAAACAAAAATATTTATACTTTTATGGTTATTGTTATAATCGGTTTTATAAATTAAAATTAGAGACCGAAACAAGCTGAATACACTGCTAGTCTTTGGATACTTTAAACGACATTTGATTTAAATTTAATGCTTATAACAAAGCTAATATAAGCACTGTGGTCTTTGTTTTCAGGAGCTTCCTCGCGCTGAACCACTCCTAGGATCCGCCGGATCTGCCGACGACTCCGAGTTGCAGAGCCTGGAGCCTGAGAGCCGCAAGGCTGAAGCCACCCAGGATGCCGAGGAGCACTCCTCCGACAAGGACAACTCCTACTCCGACAGCGATGAGACCGACGAGCTGCAGAAGTACCCCGGCAAAATGCCGCTCGAGCTGGACTTGAGCGACCTGGCTGCCGCCATTCTGCGCAACAACAAGAAGTAAGAGCCTAAAAGTTAGATAGATAGATTAAAAAATTTAAATTCAATTTAAATTATATTTAATTTAAAACAATCCCAAAGCACATAGACAACAGATAAAACTATTCAAATAATTGATTTTGTTAGGGCAATATATGTAGACTTATTGATTTTTTTGTATTTGTATGACTTTTGCATACAAAATTGCAATTTAAAAAAGAAGGATTACAAAAATGATGACCGACTTAGATAGTACCAATCCTAATCGTATTAAAATCTCTCCCTTCACCCCACAGATCCCGCATGAACTGTGTGGTGGAGCGCAAGCATGCCGAGGAGATTGTCGACTCGCCCTCGAAGACGGTGGCCCTGCCCTTCGGCGTCAACCTGACCACGGATCCCAAGAAGGCCCGCATCACCGGCGAGCGCATCTCGATCTTCTGCGACGGCGGCGACGAGAAGGACAAGGAGGAGAAGGAGGCCAAGCGGCAGAGGGAGCAGGAGGAGGAGGACTCCGACGAGGATGCCGAGCCGCTGAGGCCCATGTTCATTCCCTTCCAGCGAGTGCCCATCCCCTTCGGTCGCATTCCCGACCAGATGCCGCTGACGCACATGCCCCAGAGAATGATGCCCCCGGCCATGCAGATGCACCAGCAGCTGCCCCATCAGCAACAGCAGCAGCAGGGACCCATCATCATCCGCCAGCTGCCGCCTCCGTTCCAGCACCTGCCCATGCGTCCACCCATGCCGCCGCAGGTGATGCAGGCCCCCCGCATGGAGTCCTCCGAGGAGATGCAGATGCAGATGCCCAAGGTCCAGACACTGCGCATTCACATGCAGCAGATCCCCTTCCGTGAGATCCACGTGGCCGACGATGTGCCCGTCCAGATTCCCGCCCAGCAGCGCCAGGAGCAGCAGCAGCGCCAGGAGATGCAGCACCGCCAGGAGATGCAGCAGCGTCAGGAGATGCAGCAGCGCCAGGAGCAGCGCGAGGTCCCCCAGATCCAGATCCAGCCCATGCCCTTCGGCATGGCCCTGCAGCGTGTGGGCATCACCGCCGAGGATCTGAGGAACATCCAGCGCATGGCCGAGGATCGCATCACCGACGAGCTGCGTCGTCTGGCCGCCGAGGAGGGTGCGGAATCCAGCGAGGGCAGTGAGGAGGATGTCTCCACCTCCGCCGAGCAGGCCACCACCGAGGCACAGACCTCCGTGCAGCAGCAACAGCAGCAGCAGCAGACCAACCAGCCTGAACAGCAGGAGGTGCAGCACCAGGAGGTCAGCCAGGAGCGACAGGAGCAGCAGCAGCAGCCGGAGCAGCAGGAGCAGCAGGTGCCCCAGATGCGCATCCAGCGCTTGATCCTGCAGCCACTGCCGGAGCAGCCCCGTGACACCATGACCCCGCCCATGCCCGACCAGTCCCAGCAGTTGCCCTTCGGACGCATGATCTACGGCCGCAGTCTGGCCCAGCCCGTCCGCATCCCAGTGCCCATGATGCAGGCCATGGAGGGAGGAGCTGCTGTCCCCGAAGAGTCTCAGCGACCTCACTGTGAGTACCACCCATTCCTTAAGTAGAGAGTACACTTAAAAAGACCATGACGCCTTAATTTCAAGTTTATCTTATTTTAAATCTTAAAACAAAAATTCCAAATACATTAATAGCAGTGTTGGGGTGTACCTAGATACCTAAGCTTGATGTTTACAAAATTGTTTATCTTTTGCCTTACCAAAGTACTTCTTTACCTATGTAGATCCAAAAAACACTAAATATTAGCCTCTCCAATTAAACAAATAAATGTGTTCTTACCCAATTAATATAACCGTCTAAAGCCCCGATTCATTTTCATAGAATGTATAATTACATTCAAACCAGTTGTATTCATTAATATGCCATTAAAAGATGAAGACAAATTAAATTAATCAAATGAATATTTATGACTCGAATTAAATTTCAGAATAATTTACTTTGAATTACGTTTCAAAACGGATTTATTAATTAATCGACCATTAATTGTTACTCATAAATTTATTTAATCTTGGGACTTTAAAGCACACATTTTTAATATGATTTTTATTCTTTAATCATTAACTAATTCATTTCTCCATTGACAGTCGTCCAGCCTCGTTCCGTTTAAGTAACAAGAAGACCACGCCTGTGATTGCTGCTGTGCGAATCGAATCTCGACGAGATGGAAGAATGAGAAAAACTAGGAGAAGGAGTCATTATGTCCCTAACTGAACCCGAAGAATCTATTGAATTGTAACCGAGTCGTCTCGATTTGTTTTGTTATTAAAGCAGCTTAAAAAAAAAACGTTAAAACCAAAACTAAATCAAAAAGTTTAAAAACATCCCTTCCACCCATTTTGGCCTCCTTTTAAAACCTTTTTCTATATATTTCATATTTGTATATTTTATATAACTGCGTGTATAACATTCCAATCAACAACAACACAAAAGCAGACAGAAATCTCCTGTGAGAAGAAAATTGTAAAAGTTTTCCAAATGTTTTTTTTTTCTTTCAGTTTTTTGAATTGTCTACAGTTTTGTTTTCACATACACACAAATAAATCCGATGGAAATTTTTGTACATAAATTATTATCGTATTTTTAATTAATTAATTGTCTTGTGTAGTTGTTAGTAAATTAAGAACGATGATGGAGCTGATCTGATCTTGATATAATCAAATTCCAAAACCATCGACAGCAAAGATAAATTTGTACATTTTATATAATTATATATACTATATACACACACACATTTTGAAGCGAATAAAATTGTGGATAATTGGAAATCAAATATAATGTGTTTTTGTTTGAAAACCAAAGTGGGAAATGGAACTTTAGAAAAGCCCTGGTGAAATTTGAAAATCAAGTTGTCGCAAGACCTATAGACTTTTTTGGAATGCCATTTTTCTGAGACAAGCTAAATTTTTTTCCCCGATATTTTAAAATTATTTGAGCAAACACCTCTTCAACTTTAGCATCATTTAAATTTTATTTCAATACCTTTCCAGACACGCTTTGGTTTTTGAGATACCGCTGAAATCATACAAACTCGCAAAAATTCGAACAATATTATTTGTATATGTTTTAATCTCCCGCATTTTCCTCGTTTTTACATTTTTGTGCTTGTCTCTCGTTTACAGTTTATGTATATAATATAAGTTTTGAACTGTGTAAGTTATATGCTTGTATATACAGTGTTTGCACGTGCACAAGACAGGGTAATTACAACCGTTGTCAGTGTATTCCGTTGGCTCAGCAAGGATGCGCAGTGAAATTGTTGGATTTTTTCATAATTTTTTTTTACAATTACTTTTTGTAATATATATATATATATAACATATATGACTAATCGTAAGTTGCATTGACAAGTGGGGTAGATAGGGGTTATAATGATTTTAAGGGGTTTTTTTTTTGGGTGGGGTGATGTACAATACGTTTTCGTAGCGCTTTCTCTCGTTAAAACTAAATTCGTCTAAGCCTTAAAAACAAAACACACGCTTGAATACAATTACAGTTCATAACCAAAAGAATTATGAAGAAAACATATGCGGAGCTGGAAATAATATGAATGGATCTAAACACACAATCTTTGTTCCTGGTCGGACTCACTCATCACTTGTATCACTGATTTCACCGATTTAGTCAAGTTCCCGTATCCCTCTTCTCCGGTTCATCTGATTTCTAGGATGTAAAGCTGTAACAACGCGAACGTAATTCCAAAGTAAGGTATCTAATTATTATTATTATTATTAGCACTTTATCTCTTCGTTGACTATGACTACTTGGGGGAAACTATAATGGGGAGGGATGATCTTCTAGCCATTCTCACATTGGTGACCCTCGCAGTTCCCCCAAAATATGCAGTTCCCGACGCCACTGTAGCATATGAGTGACACGGCTGTGAGGAATACCAGGCTGCAGATGGTGCAGGGCTTCCGCTCCAGGAAGAACCCCACCAGGTACAGCACTATGAACATCACGTGGGTTTCCATTAGGGCCGGATTCGTGGGTTTCGGTATCAGTAATACGGGTAGCAGGCATTGTAGGCAATACATTCTGTGTGCGGGTGGGTGTGTGTGTTTTCTAGGGTTCTATTCGCGAGTTGACGTGGTCTTCCGCGCAAAGGCCTGCAAAAGTAAGACCCAGGAAAAAACCCGGGGGGTCGAGGTTAGTCTTAATTGTTCTATAATTACTATCAACCGTAGTCCTGGGCAAAGACCAAAAACGTCAGCAGTCGACGGAGCTGTTGTTACCGGTCTTACGGTGGTATGCATTCCGTGGGATTACCTCTCCTTGGGCCTTTTGGCGCTGGGCTCGCTGTTTTCGTCTCGTTTAGTTGCTCGTTTGTTGTGCGTCGTTTAAAATCATCACATATTTACCAATGCTACCAAAATAGAGGTGGTGAAGTATCGATGTCATCGAGGTTTGGTATGAGTTATCGATGTTTATCCACCTCTAACGAGTATTGAGTAACGTTGAATAATACCGAAAAATATCAGCATTCTAGTGCGTTGTTCCGCGGAACCAGCTGAATCAAAGGCGGAACCGGAACCATTCCATCCCGCTAACAATTTAAATTTAAACTAAAAACTTGACGGTTTAAATACTTTTTATCCTCTTAGAACTTTTTCATAAGAATAAATAAAAATCAAAAAACCTAGTTAAACAATAAACTATTTAATAAAAACAGTTTTCAAAAAAATCACTGAAAAGAAACATAATTGACTGAGTGAAATAAAACGAATCAAAAATACAGCTCTTATATTTCAGATTTTCTTTTAAGTAAAATAACGAAACATTAAATATTGCAACTACATACGTTTTTTAAGTCCCAAGGAAATATTTCACATGGGACTAACAAATTAAATAACTACCATTTAAACAACAGGTCTACAAATGCATTTAAATTTTATATTTCCGTTTTTCTTATTGGGTTTTATATTGGGTTCTAAACGGAAGACATGTTTCGTAAACAAATACGTGGTTATGTTATGGGAGCAGTCAGCTTTGTTTGATATGCAATTTATACCTAAACATGATACATACAAGAATATTATGTACATACAGCTTTAGCTTCTCATATGGCAGCGGCAAATAAACACACAGTAATGGAACTATCCAATTCGATCTTTGCAATATACATTCCAGTAGAGAGTGTTTTGATATATCGAAGGAACGGTAGCCAACGGAAGCAGGAAAATCCACCCAGCGAATCCAGCTATATAGAGGGCAATAGCCACCACTCGTCGCCAAAGATCTTGCTGCCACAGATCCTGCAGGTCTGGTAGACCCATATGGTTGCAAAATGCGTGCACCAAAATCGGAGCCACCACATGACCCGTTCGGGCAAATAGAAAAGCGGAATAAAATCCAAACAACGTGGTGTAGATGAACTGGAACAATCCAATCAATAAGGCCGTGCTCAGCTCCACTCCCAAACTCAATCGCTCGGCTATGTGATGCAAATGGGCCACTCCAAAGAAAAGCGGCGTTATAAAAACGGCGACCAAGGGCGAAAAACTCTGCAGGATCAAAGGCATCATGCAGGCGCGGAACACAAACTCCTCGCTCAGCGGAGCCATCACATGGTTGCGCACCCAGATGATGCTGTTAAAGGATCCTTTCCAGTAATCGAGATCTAAAATACAAATTAATAATATTTAATATAATAGAACATACAAATGGGAGTCAAATTTTCGGAAACATTTTTTAGAAATCGAAACTTATTTATAAATTAGATTTTATATATAAAATACTACAAACCAAAGTATGAGCGTATGGACTCGTTCTGCATGTTGACAAAGATGGGTCCTATAAATAGAAGCACTGTCAGACCGTAGGGAATGAGCACCGCCTGCCATAATCCTTCCAAACGGAATCCCAACAACTTGGGAAATGGCTCTCGGCTGAGGAGTTCCGGCGACGAGAAGAAATATACAAAAAAGGGGGCCACCATCATAACCATGGAAACACTAGCGAATCTTCGCTTAATCGTCGTTGGATGATCCCTGTTGTGTTTTGTGCTCCAAATGTAGAGGCTTCCCACGTAGAGAACCGCCAGTACGAAACAACAGGTCACCGAGGTGACTACTGGGATTTGGGGCAGTGATTTGTGCACTGGATGCTCCTGCATGGTTACTTCGGCTTCCATCTCACTCAGGTTGTTCATTTAATGAAGTTATTCGTCATTCTTCGCTGACCACTGAGCCAAAAAAAGTACACAAAGCCAGGTGTGATAAGCAGCTGATTGCAGTAATGTGACCGTTTTTGCTAACTCGTTTCAGTATTTTTAAAGAACAGTTATAAATTTTATATATAGCAAATATATGAAATAACGGCTATTTATTGACAACTACAAAATAACCGAAAAAAAATATATTAATATTTTGAATGTTGTTGTTTTTATAAATGTCTTGCACATAATCATAATATCAATCTTTTAAATTTAACAACCCTTTAAATTTTCTTGCAATCCTATTTATCTATGTTTTATAAACATTAGCACCAGTAAAAACTATCTTAACATGAAGAAAAGTAATTTCCTCTGAAAAAATGATATATTTAAATAGCTGGAAAACATAGTTAGTGGTCGAGCAAACTATTAAAGATCGGCAAGGTCTCTTTAGCATTACAATTTCTTGATTTATTTGACACTATCAAAAACAAAACTTGTTACATATATGATTTAAATTTTCAATTTAAATCTAAACTGATTTATTTGGTATATTCCCGGTATATTTAAACACTCCACTAACAATTTCCATGTCAGTTGGTCACATTGATTTGTGATAAGCATCGTGCGGCGACTTTTGGTTGTGTTTTTAAACAATTATTGCCGATAGAGTGGGCCGGCTATAAAAATAAATTAAGAAAAATATAGCCAAGAAAGCCAGTTACCCCAGAAGTACAGCCAAAATGTCGTTTCTACTGAAAGCAGCAGCCACAGCCCGTCAAATCGTTCATAAGGTTTCTTGAACATATGTTCCGAACTCTTCACAAAAGAGAAGTTGAGTTGTTGACCTTTGCCTTCGCTTTGTTTATCTTTCGATGATAGGTTCCCGTGCGCCATCTGAATCTCCTGGAGTTTCAGAGCAAGGATCTCCTCCAGAAATACGGAGTGGCCATCCAGCAGTTCAAGGTTTTGGATAACTCCAAGGCAGACACGGAAGTCTTCAAGACTTTTGGTAAGTGGAGGAACCATGCCGGGTGTTTATGTAATCTCTCGGCTAATTGGTGTTAAATGCTTTTTCAGAATGCCCCGAATATGTGGTGAAGGCGCAGATTCTGGCCGGTGGGCGTGGTAAGGGAACTTTCGACAACGGTTTCAAAGGCGGCGTTCATATCACTTCAAAGTAAGATACTCCAATTTTCATATTTCAAAGAATATTTTTTAATTTTATTTTTTATATATTTTAAAATTTGCCTATGGAAAGCATTTGCTTTAAAGTTTTTATATTAAACAAATTTCAAAAATATGCTGTAATTATGTGCCTTATTTGAGTTTATCAATTTATGATTTAAAAGTTGTTTCCATCCCTTTATTAAAATCTTAAAAGTTAAATACTGCGGTACAAGACGCAAAAAAAAAAATTTAAATTTAAAACATTTTTAATAATTATTAGAAATTTTTAAGTTATTATCTATTTTTTTAATTTTCAAGCTGAAAACAGCCTTCAAACTTATTGTAAAAAGAAATAAGTTTAATTTTAATAAGGAAATCTCAGCTTAATTGAAAATGCTAACAGGCAAATCAAATAAACAAATTTAATATATTTGAATAACATTTAAAATTTGATATCTGTGAAACCCAGAACAGACTTTAAAGACAAATCAGATAAGGCGAGCTAATATAATTGTTTGTACTTTTGGCAGCAAGAGCGAAGTGCTTTCGCTTACCAAGCAGATGATAGGAAACCGGCTGATAACGAAGCAAACGCCCAAATCGGGAATTCTGGTCAACAAGGTCATGGTGGCGCGCAGTATAAACATTACCCGGGAGACCTACCTCTGCATCTTGTTGGATCGGGAGCACAATGGCCCCGTGCTCATCGCCTCTCCCGCTGGAGGCATGGATATCGAGGCGGTGGCCGAGGAAACACCGGAGAAAATTAAGACTGTTCCGCTGAGCATTGATAAACCGATTCCAGAGGCGACGCTCCTGGAGGTGGCCAAGTTCTTGGAGTTCAAGGGAGAATCGGTGAAGCGTTGCGCCGAGGAAATTCAAAAGCTCTACACTCTCTTCAAGGCTGTGGATGCCGTACAGATCGAGATCAATCCGCTGGCGGAGACGGACAAGGGAGAAGTCATCTCGGTTGATGCCAAACTCAACTTTGATGACAATGCCCAGTTCCGTCAGAAGGATATCTTCGCGATGGATGTCACCGAGGAGGAAGCCGATCCCCGGGAAGTTGAGGCGGCCAAGTACAACCTCAACTACGTCGCCATGGATGGAAATATTGGATGTTTGGTGAATGGCGCTGGTTTGGCCATGGCCACCATGGACATCATCAAGCTGAATGGCGGCGAGCCCGCCAACTTCCTGGATGTCGGCGGTGGCGTCAAGGAGGATCAGGTGGCCAAAGCCTTCGAGATCCTCACCGCTGATCCAAAGGTCAAGGGAATCCTGGTTAATGTTTTTGGCGGAATTGTAAACTGTGCAACTATCGCCAACGGCATTGTGGCTGCCTCCAAGAAGTTGCAACTAAATGTTCCACTGGTGGTGCGCCTGGAGGGCACCAATGTGAACCAGGCTCGCGAAATATTGAAGAATTCCGGTCTGCCTATTCAAACTGCCAGTGATTTGGACGATGCCGCCAGCAAGGCGGTGGCTGCCCTTAACTAGGTGGATTTCTATCAAGGAGAGAATGTCTTCCAGATTATCACGACGCACATTAGCATTTACATGGATAGGCCTTTTAAATATAAGTTTTTATCGACAGTATAACCAGAATGTTATATTTTAAAACTAAGTTTGGTGTTTCATTCGGGTTTTAGGAGTCCTGTATTCAAAATCACTTTAACAAATTCCGTCCATGGTGTTTGTATATAATGAACCCACCCATGTTAAAATTTTTATCTCTGGACATTCTTTTACAGATACTGTTACACGTACAATTTTAAAATAATGATTACATTTAACTTTAGTAATTGGCTAAGCATTTTCAAAAATTGAACTTCCATGGCACAGTTTTCCAAAATTAAGGGAATGCCCCAGATACATTTATGGTATATTTTTAAACCAAATGGTATAAAAGTATTTTTTTGAGAACCGGACGGTATATTTTTCGTACTATTACGCGGTCACACTGCAGTCACACCCAAACAGCCATCAAGCCAAACAAACAACGAGGAAACCAGCGAAATTCCAATAGAATTTCCCGACCAAAGGATGCGAAAATCTTCCCACATTGCACGCGAGGATTCCCAGGAGTACCTGCCCACCAGCCAAACCCAAAACATCCACACGGTGAACATGAAGCGGCGCACTTTATCCGGAAGCTGTGGCGTTGGCGTCTTCGTGTTTGCCTTTGCCTTCATTGTGATTGCATTTGCAACGCCCAGTTGGTTGGTCAGTGATTACCGCATCACGGGCGCCAAGCTGGACCGCCTGGGATTGTGGGTGCACTGCTTCCGGTCGCTGCCGGATGTGAATGATGACAGCCAGCGGAGGTTCTTCGTGGGCTGCCGCTGGGTATATGACCCATTCACCACGGGCTACGACGAGATCCGGGGATTCCTGCTGCCCGCCTTCATGATAGCCACGCAGTTCTTTTACACCCTGGCCTTCATCGGGATGCTATTGTCTGCCATCGGAGTGCTGATCTTCTTCCTGTGCGCTGGACCCGATCAGAAGCACTTTATCACACTCATCCGATCAGTGGGCTATGTGCTCCTGGGATCCGGAGTGAGTGCTGCCATTGCGGTGATAGTATTTGCTGGATTCGGCAACCGAAATGGCTGGATGCCGGAGCATGCGAACAACTGGTTCGGTTGGTCCTTCATCCTGGCCTGTGTGGGTACAGTGTTCACCCTGGTGGCGGCCACTTTGTTCCTCAGTGAAGCCCATGTGCAGCACAGGAAGCGGATTCAGTTCAAAGAGTCGCAGACGCGATTCGAGCTGGTGCGCGGATAGTCGGCGGTGAGTATATGGCTATATCCAAGTCAGGGCCAGTGGGTTAACCTTCTTGCATTGTTTCTTTCAGTCCCAGCCACTGGCACACATGCACCAAGCGAAACACAGAAACTACGAGCAAATTAAGAGGAGAGTAACACAAAAACATTCCGTCCCCACGATGAATTCTCACCCTAATCATTACAGTCGAACTTCTCCAAGACGAAACATCCTAAGTGAACATTTTAAAAAGTTTAAATTTGAAACTTAAGTTTTCTGCAGCAAATATTTTTGCATTCAAGCTTTTTAATATTTCAAGCCTAAAGTTTTTCTTAACTCACCATAATCCCTAAATTTTTAGTAGTTAAAAAATCATAAAAAGGTGTCTAAGGTAGAAATGACGAAAGACTAAATTCTAGTTTCAACAGCATACTTTTAGACAACTTTTAAAATATCTTTAGAGATTTCTGAGGCAATCGTAAACATTATTATTTATTTATTTAACAAATTTTGTTTAAAAAAAGGTATTTAATCAAAAAACATGACAATAAGGTTAACAAAGTATTTATTTGTTTCTCGCTTAACAATTAAAAGGAAGTTTAATTTGTAGAAGTTCGACTGTAAATATAGTTTTTAGTTCAAAAAGTTTATGCAATTGACAGCCACACCGCATCACAAGCTTTCAGTTTTTGGTACTTATTAATCATCCATCCAATCGACCAGATCAGTTCCAAACGAAGACTGAATGTTTTTTTCGAATGAAAACCACATCAATCGCACTGCTATCATCAAACAAACACGCTCAACCAGATGACTCATGTTCATGTAGAGTATTCTACAGTATTTGCATATCAATTTTCGCTCAATTAACGCCCAGAGACAACCGCCGTCCTCCCTCAACAGTTGTAACTATATTTTTTGCAAAGTCGCAGGCTAGTTGAAACTAGCAACGAAATATTACACTCGTGCCTTAATTAGATAGAACTATTTTGGTATAGTTCATAGTGCCTAAAAACAAATTATTGTTAGATACCTGACCGACCGACCTGCGATGACCCCAAAAAGACCCATTGGATTGCATAAACTTCTGCTAAGCTAGTGCCTTAGTTAAGAACCCAGAGAAAGCTAAGCGAATTCCGACCATTATCTTTAAGACACAGACATTCCCTTTTTAACTCGAAAATTCCGCACACGAAGATTACCTTCTTTTAAAGGTATGAAATAATTAGGTATGTATTAGTATCTGTTCATCTTTTGCACAAAATTTGTATTTGTAACATATTCTAAACCAAGAATTTAGCAACGTATTAAAAGCAATACATCCGTCCTTTACCCCCATATACAATAATATTGGTAACATTTTTTATGTACAAACGACATTTAGCTAAAGCGAAGAATAATAAAGTTTTTATTGTATACAACAGCTGAATGCATCTTTTGAGCGAGTTCAAGGCAGCTTGGGGTCCAAACCGAGGCCCGCAACAATGAATCTCGTCACCAGTCGCATTGGTGCATTCGACTTAGTTTTCCCATGGCGTTTGCGTTTTGGGAAAACCGAACAAACTTTTTGTTGTCAGCTTTCGTAGCAGCTGAGGCAACAGATTCGGATATGCATCAGTTTACTGGAGTAACAATTGATATGCCAACGGATTGTGGGCTGCACCATGTGTCAACCCAACGATTTCGAAGTTATCTTTTGTGCTTAATGTTATGTTAGTGATTGATGAAATAAAGGTATCTCAACAAAAAAGCCACACAGAATTGCCATAGATTTAATGTGTATTTGCCAATTTTTATTGCATACTATATTTTAATAGTTGTGACCTGATATAAGTTCAAAAATTTTAATTAATAATAAGCATGCTATTTTATTTTTACATCTCTGGTTATGTAAGAATATTATCAAGGGCACGTAACGAAATTGTGAACGGCCGTTCAAAGTACAAACTATTCCCTTTTCCCATCTTACTTAAATTTAAATTAGCCATAAATCTTACTTGAGTTTGGCACTAAAAACAAAATTCAGAACGGTAGCTGTCATCTCGGAAATTTATAGTTTAATTTAGTTTTTGAGATATTTTAACATGCTACACTTAAAAAAACCTGTACTTAATTGATCCATCGATCATTGACAATGGTAACTTTCAAATGCCTTAAGTTTACGACATAAACATACTTGATTAATGGTGCATTTAAAATACTATGGAATAAAATATATAATCTGCGAAGGCTTAAAGCCACTCATACGCTCCAAAAACCCACAAAACTATTAGATCATTTTGTCAACAACATATTTGACTCGACTCACTCGGGCACTTAAAAAGTATTTTAAATGGTAACCATAAGAAAATAAAATATATTAATTTGTCTGGCTTATAAAGGCATAATTAGTGAAACAGGTGGTAAGATATATCGATCAGAAAAAACCCCACCCACGATTTTGAGACCCGACTTGGCGGCAATGACATTCAGGGAAGAGACAGAAAGAAAAATGGATCTTTTAAGCGATTGTGAGGACTTGCTGAAGCGTGAAATCTGAAATCTGAAAACTGAAAACAGACCGAAGATAGTTCGAATTGATGGATGGATTAGCGTGCACATTTGCTACAGATCTGATTAGCGCAAAACGAAGTCGATTCAAACCGGATGCCCCATGCCTCATGACTGGACTGACTCAGTCGAATGGCCTTGGTAGAAAACTGCACAAAAATATGTGCTAAACGCAAATTTATTTACGGATTTTGTTATGGCCACCATATCGAGAGTGAGGAACCTCCACATCCACTTTTGGTGACCTCACTTGCCGTTAGATTGACAAACAAATCGGCTTACTTCACTTATTACACGGAACGGATTAAGAACTCTGAAGTAAGGTGGCTTAATCTAACTGACTGTGTGTGAAAATTGTCGAGTTTTCGCTGCTCGGATTTCTTGTTCAGGGTTCTTCTGCTTTGCTTTTGAATTTGATTGACGGACAGCTTCGAAATCCCCTGTGGAAGCGATTTGCTGAATACAAGTGATTTAAGAGACAGGGTAATTAAAAAATGTTCATGGGAAATTAGCGTGGACAAAAATAATAATTATTTATAATGTGGCTAAAGTATACATATGTCTTACTTAATTTATACAAATATGCATCACCAAACCACTAAAATTAATATATTGATTTAATACATTATATTAAAAAGAAGAATACATTTTTGCTTAATTTGTTTAAAAAGGTTTCAAGGTTTTCCATTTGCATAAAATGCTGCCATCACAACATACAGTAAAACTTGATGAGAAGAACCAGAATTTGAAGTTAATTTTCAGCCCGACACGAAGCTTCATTAACAAAAGGCAATATACCTGTTCTTAGGCGCTGGCCAGAGATTAATTGCCATCGCTTTGGCCACAACGAAACATTTTGCATAATATTTTCAATCGAATCGAGCGTCAATGAACGCTTATACACATTGAAATTAAAAGTGGTCGGAGGTATTTATTTTTGGGGGGATAAGAAAATCTAAAATCGAAAATGAGAGTTTGGGCCTGCGATTACGCAAAAGTCTCAAAAATAAACTGTTTATAATCAATAAGCAAAGCCATTAGATTGATTACTATTTGCCACACGCAAACTTTCCTCAAAACCACTCTTTTTTTTTTGAAGTTTTGTTGGTGCTGCTGGTCATCTATAAATATTGATGGGGTCCATGAAGGTCGGGCTTAGTGGGGGCTCATTAAAACTTTATGGACATGTCGATTTTATTTTATTTTCGATATAGAACAGCTTTTATGGTACTTTACACAAATTGGGCTTAAACATTCTCAACGACTTCTGCTGGATTAACTTGTCCAGTTTTATGGGAATAATCAATT